GAAATGTACTAAGGTGAGTTTCTTCTTAACCGGGAACCTCTTACTAACATAATAGATAAAAAAAGGTTTTTTATTCCCTGTATATTCTAACTTCATGATACATCTATAAGTCTTTAATAGTCTTCAGACTTTAAAAGAAAGAAGGATATGATAGTAAGTTTTTCAAATGGGCAATGGTTTTTTTGCACTCATTGGACTAGGCAAAGTGTTCTAAGACTTCATTATTTTGAAGATGGTTGAAAACTTATCCACTAATTTTGAGATAAAATGAGTTAAGCTAGTGATTTGGCTTATTAGTTTTTATAAATATTTAGTATTTCGGTGAGATGACACCTCCATTATAGGTTTAATTTTTTTTGCTGTGTTTTTCCTGATGCAATATAAACATGAAACTATTATGTATCTCATAATAAAAAAGAATTGAAGATTCTTTTTTATGCTAATTTGAGGTTTATAAGAGAAAAGTCTAAGAAGCTATATTAGTTGACAATATTTAAAGAATCATTCAAATTTCAGAATGGTTGTATTTAGTTTAAGAGTGCAAAAAATGATATTTTAACCATGCAGAGATTACGTTTCGGGTCAAATATCATATCTTTCTCAAGGTTTCACATAATTACACAATTTCTATTATACTTATTTCTAATGACATTACATACGTGATGAATGCTAATTTCTGAAATATTAGTTTTGCCCTGTCTGAAATATCATTTTTATCTCTATTGAAATATCATTTTGCCCTTCGTTGCCCTAAACAGCCCCTCCTCAAAAGAGAGGTTGGTTTCGTCTCTGGTTTAGGCTATCATTTATTAAGGAAGAACTTAGCCATGAAAATGTACTGAAGCATAGCATAGAGAATAAGTTTGACAACTCTATCATCGATATGTTCCCTTTTTCAAAAGTACTTTGAAAGAACTTGTTAAAATAGGGACAATTACATACATACCACTTGAAACATTGCAATTTACAAATCTAGCAACCACTTTCAACCCTTTTTCAAATATCAAAATTCACAATAAACCATAACTCACATTTTCATCTGTATCAAATTCTGAATAGTTTGATAAAGGCATGCATAAATGCATTAGTTTGGTAGTTTCTGTTTTAAAAAAAGAAGGAATTACGTACTAGAGCTCTACAAGCATTTTAATGATTAGACTTGTCTTCTATTTGACCCAATGGAGCTCTAGAGTCGACATTAATTATGTGAAATGCAACATTACCATTGACTCCTAACAATTTTTTTTGTTTCACCAGATGAACATGCCTTTGTATTCAATAAGGGCTACAATTAATTAGTTTTGGAATACAACATCAAAAGTAAGATTGAGTCAAAAGCTTCTCCCAAGTCCTCCTACTATAGAAAAAACTTCTTCAATAGCTTTATTAGTCCTTAGGATGCTTCCTCTTTTTTGTTGAGTTTTAAGTTCTCCTTCAATACATTTCCTAAAACACACAAATAATAAGTTTGATACTACATGAATTCTCATCTAACAATAATAGCTTCTCTTCTACTTTGGGTATTTCATAATTACATTGTAAGTTGAGACTACTACTTTAAAGATGTTTAAGAGTGGTCAACCAAATACGACATTGTAGCCATCTAACAAGTCAAAAATGAAGAAGTTTTCTATGGTAATGAATTGCTGATTTTATTCTCCCTAATTGCTCGGAAAAACTATGGCTCCAATAATCTCTTTTCTTTTTCCAAAAAAGCCAAATAATAAACCTGATGTGCAGATGAAATATGAAGTCCCCTTCATCTTATTGTAAACTCTTTTGAAGAGAATGTTTATTGAACTTTGGAGTCCATAACTTGCCACCAATTTCATAATTCATGATCAATACCATGATCCCAATGTCATCAAGCTATAGGTTTTCCTTAATAAGAAGATCAATGTTCGTAAAGATGATTGGAGGCTAGTAACTATTGATGGTCAACAAGAGCTCGCCAAGTTCACTTAGTTAGAGCAAAATTTTTAAAGGATGAATTAGTGTGAAGCTTTTAGTTTGTCTTCTTTGAGGACACATGGACTATCCATGTGATGTAGATAGGTTGTTCTGGAATATATTCATCACGAGCTTTCTTCTGTGGGTATATTTTCTTATCTCCTTATTTTCACCTCCAATGTGACAAAATCTTATAGCTTTTTTTTGTGATTAATTCTTCACATAAATTCTTAAAATTCCTACATTTGTTTGTATCATGGCCATAAATTTTGTGATAGACGCCATATCTTCTTAGGTAACAAAGGTAAGCTCCAACATACATAGGAATCAATTTGTCAAAATACTCTTTGTTTTATATAGTTTCAACTATCACAGCCATTGAGACTCTTAGAGGAGACATGGTTGGTGGACAATGGATGGGAGGTTGTGAACTTCTTTCTTCCTAATGATCCATTTGCCTCTCTTTAAAATGAGTTAGCTCTTCAAATGGAAAAAGTCAAAGATTCTCAAAGTTTTCATCTTGCCAAATTTTAGTATGGTGGCTTCCAACTTCCCTATTGAAATTAAGAAAATTCTTACTGAGTGGATGTCGTTATTGGTGCTTAATACATGAATTTTTGGTAAAGAGTTGTACGCCTCTAGTGAGATGTAATTTTTTGGCAGACTCTAACAATTTGACTAGCATTATCAGGCCTTATAACCTAAGATAAAGGTAGAATAGACCTTCTTTGATACTTTGAACTAATTTGGCATGAGCTACTGATTGTTCAAGTTCTTTTACCTAGAACAACTTCTTATAAAATCGAGTTATAAAACTACTTAATAATTATCCTGACTTGTTACAAATTTACAATAATACTTGCAAACTCTTATATGCAGCTTCTGAGCACTAGCAAATTTTACAATGAATGTGCATTTGAACTTTGAAAATGAAGTGATTATCCCAAGTGGGGGGTTTTTGAGCCAATGAAAGGAATAGTTATTTAAGACATGAAGAATATACTACACTTAAGTTCATTAGTAACTCACACTATGCATATTACTAACTCAAACTATGCTCCATGATCAACATAATCAAACATCTCTTGTTAAGATTCCAAGGTTAGAATATTAAATTTCTTTAGTGCCTTAGTCTTGATAATCCTTCTATTTTAGTTGTTCTCCAATTGGTTCCTTCTCAAAATAGCTTCTTGCCTCCTCACTCTCCCATTTGTAAGGAGAGGAAGCTCATCCCACTTTGCCAAAGTAAATGATATAATTCACTTTAACTATTGGATCTCTTTCTCTATGTACCATCAATTCTGATAAACTAGAAGGTAGTTGGGTATTTGGTGTTTCCCCTGGTGTTCACTTCAAAATTTTCTTAATCGTCCATCATCATTTACTCTTTTAATTCATTTATTTGTCGCATAACAAACTTGTTGGTACACTTTATGTTGATTGAATAGTCTTTGTGGCTTGGTTATGTTCTATGAATAATGTCTCATCTAGCATATCCACAATCACTACACCTTCGAAGATGTTAGGTCCCAAAAAATATGAGTATACCACCTAGAAACTAGCTGAGGGAAGAGCCGAGGAAAAGAAGGAGCTCCTATAAAATAGGAGACCTCTTTGGATTTTATTTCTGTCAAAAGGGGCACTCACAAGAAATTGCTCATGGAATCTATAGTGGTCAATCATCCCAAAAATTTCTCTAAGAACTCACCTAAAAGTTCTCTCTCCCTCTCCAAAAGAGTACTCCTACCCTCAATACAACCACCTCTACTTATGAGTGAGGCTAACTTGGTACACTATATATAACATTACCAAAAAATACAGATAACGTCATACAGATTGAAATAGCTAAATATATGGCTTATGCATTCGATTGGCTTATGTGGCCCTTTAAGGTGAAATGATTTGTCAGACTACCTGATCAAGCTATTTGATCATATTTGGCGATGATCTATCTAGTTAAGTGGCTATGCCAAACCATATTTGACTTGATTAGCTTACCCGCAACTTATTTTGAACCCGATCTTAAGGATTACAACAATACAATATGACTATTTTTATAGTGACATAAGTTATTTGTCAAAATTTATCATGTAGTCATCTTATTTTACTTGATAAAATAATATGTTATATATTTTTAACTCTTGGCTATTTAAGCAGGATTTATGCAAGATTTATGTTAAATTCTGCAAAACAACTAAGAAGGCATTGGCAAATCCTATAGGTTTTTATCTCATTTTTCCTTCGTTTGTCTTACTCTGTGATTTAGTAAATCCTATTGGAAGAGAGTTACAAGATTTGGAGAAGTTAAATCTTGGGGGATGACATTCTATTAAACCCTACTAATGCTATCAAACAATTTTTTTGAATTTATTATAATTTACTTATTAACATACCAAATAGTTTTCAAGATTTAACTCATTCAAGATCTCATAAATCCAGCTTTACAAGATTAATTAAATCCTATTTAAACTAAATCCTACTTGCAACCAAACGACCCCTTAAGAATATTTTAATACATTTTATGCTTCGTTTAGCCAAGGTTGCAATCTGTGTTTAGCTTAAAATTTAAAAAAAAAACTCATAACTTCAAAAGAGTTATTTCATTTTGGATAAAATTATATCAAAACATATAAATTGAGATAAAAACACACTCAATTCAACTTGAAATTATGTAAGATTAATTTAAATGCAAAGTTTTATTTTTAATTTCACATACTAATATAATGAATCAATCAAAAAAGATATAAATTCCAAAATGACTAGAAAATATAACAACTCTTGATTGATAATTGATTTAATTATATGATTCATAATATAAATTGTGTAATAAATTTGATAAATAACGAATGATCTCACTCATGTAAGACTTAGATTCAATATATTTAGTTTAGTGTAATCAAACACTTATAGATTATTACAATTCATTTATTATTAGCTAAAATTTTTAAATACAAATTTAAGAAGATAAAAATTAGTAATTAACTTAACAAAAACTTTTAATCTTGATCCTGGATGGAATTAATCAACTTAATATTATTTGCTCAAGTACATTCATGTACACCGTTGAGACTTATGATGAACATTAGTCAAAATTATTTGAAGTAAAAAAAAATAGAAATACACCCTCCAAATGTCACAACCAACTTTGAACAGCATAGATATGTCTGCTAATCAAACTCGCCAAAAACAAGCTTATTTGCTTATAAAAGCAGTCTTTTTTTACCTGGTAATGGCAGCAAGTCTCTTCAACAAGTTTTATCATGATACAGTAGACACGGCTAACTATTAAACCTATCTCTGTCATGAGAAGCAGAGTAATCTATGTCAGAACCAATTGGAATGATTCCATGGGGATTAATACTAGGATGGCTTCCATAGTAATGCTTCTTTATATGTTCCATGTTAACGCTGCTGCTCATGCCAGGAATTTGGTATATGTCTTTAGTGTAATTGAACAGATTCGGATATTCACGCAAGAGTTTCTTGTTGCATTTGAAATGCACAACATAAACCTAAAACACCAGTTGCAATGAATGATGTCAGAAACTTAAATGACTTCCTATTTTCACTATTATTTATTTTCACATTACCTTATATATATTGAAGATTCTTACCTCATCAAACCTAATCAGAGTTACAAAAAGTATTTCACATTGCCTTATCTTACCTCATCAAACCTAATCAGAGTTACAAAAAGACGAATATCAGCTTCTGTCAAATCATTCCCACAGATATAGCGTTGCTTGCTCAGTATCTCCTCACATTTGTCCAAGGCATCATATAGCTTCGCTACAGCCTAAGAGAAACCAGCAAATAAAAGTCAAAAAGAACAAATTTTCATTCCACTGGATTAGAAAATCATTACCTCATCATAAGGCCCTTGTTTCTTAGCAAATCCACACCTATATACACCATTGTTTATGGTATCATAAACCCATTCATTGACCTCATCAATAACTTTCTGTAGGTGAGAGGGGTACAAGTCCAAATTAGCATTTTCTGCTATATCATTGAGCTCTGTGTTGAACATGCGTATTATTTCAGCACTCTCATTATTTACAATTGTTTTCAGTTGCTTATCCCAAAGGACCTGTAGCATAATTTAAAAAATATATATTTGGAGTTCTCGCCGAGAAGAAAACATAAATCTTGCTGGATATAAATGCAAAACAAAAAATAATAAAAAAATTATCATATACGCACAGGAACAGTATATTTTCCTGAATAACTTGAGCTTGCAAGCTCATAAAGCTCCCTGATACTCCTGGCTCCGTTCAAAGGATCAGGATAAGCCCCAGATTCTTCAGTGCTAGAAACAGAAAAGACCCAGCCCATATGCTCATCAGTCTCTTTGGTCCTTTCCCATTTTGGTTTTACCACCTAAATGGAAATAAATATCTTTATGATTTAAATATGCAATGTTATTAATTAAAGTATTACAAAGTCAGTCAGAGTAAGAAAATGTGACCGTGTAACTGATGGCCTTGTCAAGCCCTTTGAGTTTCAAATATGCCAGACACCTAGATGCCCAGGGGCATGCATAGGATACATAAAGATGGTATCTTCCAGATACCGCAGGGAACTGGGAAGCTAGATCTTTAGAAATAAAATTTCGGAAAGTTGAGGGTGTGCGGATGAAAGAACCAGTCGAAGACACCTCATCCAGTGCAGAACGAGACATTACAAGTGTTCGCTAACGAATCCATAACTTTAAAATCAGTGCAATAATAATGCAAGTAAAAGGTAATGAATTTGTTTATTAAAGCAAAATAAATAAATAAAAATTTAAAAAAGGGTGTTGCAACAGCTATAATGATTCTTCTATAATGCAAACCACAATTGCATACACTTCAGCCCTGATTGAAGTATTCTAGGAATTCACAACATTATGAAGGGGACATAGGAGTTAAATACTCGAATCTTTAACATCTCTTCTTTGCAAATGACGCCATCTCACTAGATGCACTAGTTCATATATAAATCATAAATGCTAAAACTTTGTGAGTTTAAAATCAATTTATTCAAGTAAACAAGAACATATCATCCATACTACTATTAAAAAGGGGGATGGAATTCCACAAGCATAGATTCAAAAGTTTACAAGACTTAAAAAAAAAAAAAAGAATCACATCCCTTTATTTAAATTATAAATTTAACAAATAATTTTATTTTTTTACTAGTAACAGAAATAAACCAATATATAATTGTAGATAATTTCCTTTGTATCTTAATTGAATTTATATCATTTTATTGAAAAAAGACTTACTGACACATGTAATTGCCAAAAAACCAAATCACTTTATATGTTTAGTTATTCTTTTTGTGTCCAAATTAAATATATATATATATATATATATATATATAAATTCTTCAAACTGAAGGGGGAAAAAAACACATCTGCACACATTTATGTGCTTTTATATCTCCATGCGTGCTTGTGTGCATTTTTATATGTTCTTAGATGTATATAAGCCTTAATATTTTTTGCTTTTATGTCAGTTAGTATTGAATTATTTTTTTAATTTCGACACAATTTAAAGAAAAAAAAAAACAGCAATGCTTATATAAATTTATCAAGTTAACAATTACAAAATAACAATGCATAAACATGAACGTCTCAATAATATTTTAAAAAATAGGTTTTAAAACATTTCATAAACTCTAAACTATGTCCACGAAGTGTGTGTGCAGTCTTACTTGAAAAAGGTGAAAGCACCAACATGACAACTTACAGTCTGATAGAAAAAGACAAAATAGGTTAGAAGCACTCACGAAATAATAACAGAAAAGATAAGTTAATTATCTAGAATGTTCTGTTTTACTTATATATATATATTCTGTATCTTTTCACCTATAGTATGGTAGTAAGAACCATAGTATTTCATTTCTCTCCTTACTTCTTGCACTCGGCAGAGCAGAGCAGGACCATAGAACCTTGGCATTTTTTTCTTCCCAGCTACCTGGGAAAGCCACCATAAGCAGGAGGTCCAATACGGCTTCCCCTTGTTCATGCATCTATCTGGTTAGATTCTTCCTCTTCTCCAGTCATGGCTGGCTCCAAACTCCTGAAACACAGATCTATTCCTCCATTGATTTCGTACATGCCAAAGCAATACCACCAAACCTCAAATTCCTCATTAGTAATATCAAAAGCCTGTCCCAAAACCCTTTTATCTGCAGATAACTATCCCCTGTGGAAGTCTCAAATCACTAATATATTGACAACAAATGAATTTTTGACTTTCTGTGTAACAGCAACTCTTCCCCTTCTAAATTCCATCTTCATACAGAAGCCACCAATCTGAAACCCACAATATACCGCGTGGTTGCTAACCACGCTAATCAACCAAAACTTGCTGCTGCTCTCTATTCAACCATATCTCTGGCCATCCTCCCCTATGAGCTCAATCTCACCACCATAGAAGAAATCTGGTCTACTCCTGATAAGAGATTACAACCTACCAATAGCTCGCGGCTCATTCAGCTCAAGAGCAAGCTGCACTCTTTGACTATGGAATACAGTCTACGACATAATAGTTATCTAGTGTAAAAGCTTTGGTGGATAATATTTCTGTAGCAGGAGGTCATCTTGATCAAGAGAATATCATCCTCTATACCCTTAATGGTCTGCCTGCCCAATATCAAGCATTCAAATGTGCAATTAGGACCCAAATGCTCTCATATGTAGCGAGGAAATTAATATAGCAAATGATAATCTGAAAACCGAAACTATACCCAATGCCACGATAGCCCTCCAAACTTCAAGAAGAAGCTATGACACCTTTACCAAAGGCCGTAGAAGAGGATCATCACCCCAACTAGGCAGACGAAGAGAAGGTCGCAACAACAACCGGTCGATGGCCACATGTCAGATCTGTACTAAGATCAAACATTTCGCTGCAAAATGCTGGCACCAAACCAATCTGAAGTACACACCTTCCCCAAATCGGGCTTTCTACGCCTCAAATAATGATTGGATCCTTAATTCTGGAGCTACAACTCACATGACATCGGATCTAAACCATCTCCAAACTGCAAATACCAACTCAAGGATCCAAACAAGTCATTGTGGGTAACGATCAACAGGTACCTGTGCACCATACCAGAGATGCCATACTATTGATGCCTATTTGTGAGCTAAACTTAACTCAAAATTGGCATGCTCCATCCCAATCTCAAAACCTACTCTCGGTTCACAAGATCACACGAGAAAATTGAGTATCTATTCTTTTCAATGTTATCGGGTTTACCGTTTTTGATCTATTGACACACAAGGCTCTTCTTCGGGGTTACAACTCAAAGGGGACTCTATCCTATCAAAGCCACTTCATTGAAGACATCAACTCAACAAGCTTTTAACATCTCTCTCCTCCCATCATCAACATGGCATCGACGTCTTGGACATCTGCAGGAAGGCGTTCTCAAGTGTCTTAGCAAACTATACGCTACCTTAGGCATTTATTCCACTATATAATCATGTAATAGTTGCAATGTTAGTAAAAGTCACAAACAAACCTACCCTAGTACCTCTTTACGTATATATGATCACTTCCAACTTATAAACACTGATGTATGGGATCCATCCCCTCTCATATCTCATCAAGGACTTCGCTACTATGTTATTTTCATCGACAAATTCTCAAAATTCTGTTGGGTTTTTCCTCTTGTTGCAAAATCTGAGGTGACAACTAAATGCAATACTTTTATAAGCATGATTAGGAACCAATTCAAGAGAACCATAACTTATCTAAGGTCTGATGGTGGAGGGGAATTTAGGGGCACTAATCTTACCAATTTCTTAAACGAAAATAGCATCGCTCATCAGCGATCCTGTCCTGACACCCCATAACAAAAAAAGTTTTAAATATAAAAAATGCAGTTTTTAATATTATACATTAGCGGAAACTGCTATTTGAAATGGACCAAGCATTCAAACATATCCAACAAAACTTTTATAGTTCAATTAAAAGCATTATGTATTATTTGAAAACAAATAGTTACTTGATTGAGTCGTTGTGTTTGACCTCTACAGTGAAGGTCTAATGTTAGAAACTCAAGGGAAAAAATCATGAAAACAAAATAAACAAAATCAAAAGAAGCTACTTTAGGCATATCTAAACACTCAGAACTGCAAGCACAACGAAGTTTAAAATGCTGGGAAAAACCTTATGAGAAAATTAAATATCATCAAGGCCCCAGAATCTGAACCTAAACTTAGGGGGCATAAGTAATTCTTAAGTATTAGAATATTAAATATAATTTTTAAAGTAAAAGTCATTGCTGGCATTGATTTCTATTATGGCCAATCTTTAAAGTATCAGTGAGAAGAAATCCATTACAGTTTTCCTTGGAAGACATGGTAACATTTGTATGGAACAATTCATTATCACCAAGGAATTACTAAATTGAAAATGAATCCCTGATCACAAGCCCATGCCACGAAACACCGAAAAGAGATTTAGTAAATGGATCAACAAGCTCAATAGAAACCCAAAACAGGTATCAATGGAAAGCAGGTGAAAAAACCCTAATCATAAACTGACTAATTTAACAGACAACACCACAGTAAACCATATAACGTCCTGTTCAGACTAGAGCAGAAACTGCATGAAAATTAAGAAAAAGAGAGTAAATTTCAACGAAGATAGGAGGATTCAAACACAGGAAGTTGAGCTTCACCTTGGCAAGCGGGGAGCGAGCGCTGACAAAAGAGACTGCAGGCTGCTGGTGGGAACATTAAACTATGAAAGCGTCCTTCGTCGGAGCCAACGAATGACGAAATATGATTAAAATAAGAATAGTTGAATAGTTATTGGGGAACAAATACTCTGCATGCAAACATGTAAATAAGCCAAACTTTTAAACTTGTTTGATTTTGTATTTGAAGACTTTTGTGAATGAGATGTTCAAGTTTGGCTA